CTTTTTGTAACAAGATGACCCTCCCCGATTATTTAAAAAAACTATCAACTTTAACAAAAAATTGTCTTATACAAACCCCAATTAATTTTGGCTAAGGATCGCGTGGTGGTAACATATTTAATACAAGTTTGGATTAAACCAAGAAAAAATAAAACCAAAAAGATTGGGTGTAAAATAAAAAATCAGTGGCTCTCCTTAAAAGGTCGTTACTTAAGAAGTATAAATAAGCAGATGATCAGGGACGAAGAAGCTTCTCACCTAGCAGAGGTCTATGTAATATCTTCCTAAAACAAATGTTTTAAAAATATAAAGCTCTATTGACAAAGCTCATCACCTTGTTCACACCCCACAATACACAATGCCCCACAATTTAAATTTAATTAAACAAACCTAAGATCATCCTGTAAAAATTAGTGAAAAGAAATACAAAATTTCTTAGCCATTAAGGAAGAATAAAAGAATCCAAACATAAACCCTTTTGATTGGTTTTATAACCTTGCAGTCTCAACAAAATATCACCCACTTTAAATTTAATCAAAAGAAATTAAACTTAACACCATTGGAAAATATAAACAATCGTACAAAACTCAAAATAAACCAAGAGTACAACCAAATTGTTGTTCAACCTGTAATCCTTTTTCCAGGTTAGATATGAAAACACCATTAAAAACAATAACTACAATAGAAGTAAGTTTCAAACATACGGCAAATATATCATACTACAAACGTGAAAATGCAGGACAAAGAAAGGCAATCAGCACAAACAACAACCAACACATATCACTCATAATAAACTTTCTAAATAACGTCAAACAAACGACATAACAAAGTGGAAGGGAAAAAGTCAGAATCAACTTCAACACAATATACCCACCGATAGCTGTACTTAACTGTGCCCCTTTTTCGCCTGATTTTTACAAAATCTACAAACATAAAGGAAAGAAGTAGGATGCTCATACAAAACAATTTTTTTTTACAATTAACTGAAAATGTCATTTAATTATTACTTGTGTCGGATTTCATAGCCATGTTTTATTGTTTTACATTCCATTTCTAATATTATGGTTTTACAATATCAGTGTATTATGCATTAACATTGTTTAATAGGGAAACCTTTATTTTATTTTAAAAAAATATTTATATATANATCGGACGAGAGAAATGTGTTTAATTTATGTGATAGGCCTTGAATAAATGGCATGAAAATGTACTCTGGTTTGTTTGTATTTGATAGACTTAAGGTAGTATTATTAGTAATAGTGGATGGTGTTAGTGTTGAGTAGTAGTTGTGCGACGTTGTTGTTGGCACGATAAAGAAAATGTTTTTCTGAAACCTACATCACACCGACCGCATCTCACGATTTCTGAATAATTATCGATTAACGGTCACTATTCACCAAACAAAATAAATTTAATTATACCGTATTCCTTAGATTATTATAGCTTGTATACAGTGACTCACAGATTCGTTCACAGCTGAATGCCAATTGGGTTATATCATTATTTACTTTACAAAACAATTGTAGGACATCAAATAAACGTAGTTTTTTAATCATTTTATTTATCTTAACACAAAAAAACACCCAAAAAATTAAATTGTTCCTTTATCATGATTATTAAAATAATATAAAAGAAATTGCCGTGTGCGAACGATAATATGATTGTGTCATAGAAAGTCCTTTAATATTTTGTATGTCCTCCTTTGGCTTTCAAAACTGCATCGGTCCTTCTGGGCAAACTCTCACGAGATTTCTGTACTGTTCTGGATCAATTAGGTCCCATTCAACTTGTGTTTTTTCCCAAAGTTGATCCAAGTTTGAAGCGTCTCCTGCAGCATCGGCTAAAGATTTTTTAGTTTTCCCCACAACCACTTTGGGTGATTAATCTAATTGGATTAAGGTTAGGTGACTGCGGAGGCCATTCCATGACATTATATATTTTTGAAATTGCACGATAAGGAAGTTCTTCTTGTAGAGATTTTATTATTTGATCTTTCAAAAATGTTGAAAATGGCTTCATACTGTAATTAAACGGGATAGATCATAACCATTAAGGAAAGGAAATATTTTCGATATGTAAGAAAAATGACTAAATTGATGATAACTGATAACAAATTTGAGACGAATTGTTGAATGGTTTTTGCGAAATTTGCAATGAAGTAACCTGAGTCCCAAAACTGTTCACCTGAAGACTCGTAATAAACTGGCTCAATTCAAAGGTATAAACATAAATAAAGATTATTAGGGTGAATGTTTGTTTACCAACAGTTCAACGAACTCAATCGTATTGCTGTTGTCTGGATTAAAAAATACTGGATTTGCAAATTAGAGATAATAAAAAATTGTTTACTGACGTGAACAAATCTGTGAGTCACTGTATAATGGAAAATACGTATCAACAAAACTGTCACTATAAATTGTAAAAAATAGTAACAAATTTATTTAGTTTAATTAGTAAAATAGAATAATATTTATTCAATGTTAAATGCAGTTTACCTTTCTGTTTGACTGCAATTAAAGTTAAGTAAGTAAATAATTTATTACAAGTTTCGTCAAAACAAATATTAATAGTTATAAATCTATTCGTACTTGACGTCTTGTTTATTTTCAGTACTTTCTTATAATGCAAATACAGATACAAAATGCGAACGTGGGCGTGAGTGTATAACATGTAGAAGGTCAGGTTCATCAGAGAATGTCACGCAATTGCCATAAAGTTTATGAAAGTTAAGTAATAAAATTATATTCCTCTTCGGAATCAATTGGTAATACGTCGTGTACATCGTTCGACCCACCGTGGTAATAATAACCTTGCTTCGCCCAATATTATTTAACTTAAACGGTTCGTTTTTCAAAATAAATAAAACACTTGCAAAGTACCAAGTAACAAAATTATTTAGCACAGTCTGTCAAAATTAATTTTTAAAAAATTAAATGTATTTTATATATTAATTGTTATCATTTCCGGATGTTAGGCCAAATTGGTTACTTAAAAAAAAACAAAGGCATGCAATACATCAAAATACACTTGAACAAATTCAACGTCAAGATTGTTACACTAATTTTTGAAAAATGGATAGAATGTGTTTTTACATGGCGTGTTTTTAAAGTACTATATATAAGTGGGAAGTTCATGGGCCGACAAACAGCTGAGGTCATCGCCGGCCCTCTGCGTGTTTTCCTTCTTTTTCTTTCGCGCATATTTTGTTTTAAACTGCAGCCATTTGAGCGTCTTGACCTGGTTACTGACTCTCTGATTTCAGATATATACTACGTTGATATTCTAGAATGCTAGTCTCTCGTTTGTACCTCAGGATGTCAAATACAGAATAAAAACAAAACATACAATACATATATATACATCACCAAAAAAATAGATGTCTGGTCACATTCACTCTCCCAGAGTACTCGATATTCCTCAGGGAGGGGGGGTTATAAGCAACCCCTTCCTTTCACGCTAATAAATTACATTCATTACAATAAATTTACAGAAACACAACACTCGATAGAAATATAGAGGTCTTCTATTTCATTCACATTCACTCCCACAGAGTATTCGATATTCCTCGGGGATGGATTGAACTCTCTCCACTCTCGCTAATAACTTACTTTTACTCTCCAGACGTCACAAACTCACCCCAGAGTACTCGATATTCAACGGGGCGGGGTTAAATCACCACTTCCTTTCATGCTAATAAATTACATTAATTCCAATAAATTAGCATAAGTCAAACACAGACGCAACACAAACACATAAAACTATATACATTTAAAAATCCCTATAGCCCTGAAGTACCCGAACAGCGGTCTGTTCCCGCTGCCGTGCCTCAAGACTACGCACAGGTCCGATCATATTCGAACATAGTATCTATAAACGTCGAGCCTTCTGCAATTAAAGAGGTGCTCGACCGTTATTCTATCCTTACATAACGGGCACCTACGGGGTCGCTTTCCGGCCAGAAGGTGCCGATGCTTTATTCTTGTATGACCTATGCGTAGTCTTGTCAGTATGGCCTTTTCCCTCTTCGAACCGTTCTCCGTGGACCAGGGACCGACTTCTTTCTTACCCTGCAACAGTTTGGCAGGTTATTTCTATTTCTTCAAGCCCAGAGGTTTTCCCATTCTCTTTTTACAGAGTTTGAAATTAGTAGTTTTAGGTCTGCTGGGCATAATTAAAGTACTAAAAATAAAAAATAAAGCTAAAGCCAATTTTCCGTAAAAATTACCAGCTTCAAACATGTTGACGGCAGTTTAAATAGCTTTGCACAAAATGGACTCTATAAGCAGGAGAATTAATATTTCATCAAGGCTATTTTTTTATTGTCACTTCTAGTTTTCCATACAGAGAGAGAGAGAGTGAGAGAGAGAGAGAGAGAGAGAGAGAGAGAGAGAGAGAGAGAGATACTAGATTTCCTGGCACCTTCCCACAAACAGGCTGAAATACAGGCAAGGTTAATACTTTCTTTGCTGATTCAGCACAGACCTCTTAATCGGTAAAGTATGAAAGTTAGTTGGGTAGAAAGTTTTTAGAGCTGCTTAAAAAATAGAAAAAATTAATAAATATTTTACTGTTATTTTAAATATGTTATTCCGTTATAAAATTGCGTTCTATTTAATGTTTTTTTATACGGTTCTACTGTATTATCATTTAAGTTTGTATAATTAATTTTCTATTTAATTCCACAAAAAAATTTTTGATTTCACAATGAAAATTAGTAATATTTTTGTATAAAATTACAAATATGAGCCTATTAATAAAAGTTAAACACTAAAATACTGATTATCATCTAGTAAAAAGGAGGTCATTAAGTTTCTATCATTTATGGCCTTACGTGAAAACACATTTATCAAATAAATGGTCCTCTGTTATCTTTGAACTGTCATCACGCTAATAAAACAAAACCTCATAGTTGAAATCAATTTAAAAGATAACAGGGGCGTTCGTTTAAAACTGATATTTTCATGTCTTTTAAGGATATTTTTAAAATTATTGTCTCAAACCATTTGAGGATTGATGGACTTTTCAGGATCTTCCTGTCATTTTGGCATGCCCGAATCCGTGGATCTTATCGAGTCATTTGAGGCCGCATCTGAAATAGAGAACAAAATCTCGTTAATAAAACTTTACCAATGTCTGATCTGGATTAGATAAATTAACTATTGAAATGCATAATTTTTGATCTAGAGACTAGAGAAGAAAATGTTTTATAACAAGAAACAAAGTTGATATTCGTTCTTGTCATCCCAAAAACTCCCTTGTTACAAAACTTTGAGAAAATAATTCTCACTTTGTAACGGCTCCATTAGTATACAGGAAATTTTTAAAGGTTTAGTACCCTATAAAATACGCCTAAGAACCTCCGCAAATAGATTGAAACGGAGATATTTAAAAAATCCATATTTACTAAAAAAATATGTCAATTTTTTTAAATATTTTTTTCCCCTGCTAGTTACTAACATCACCCATTAACAAAAAAAGCTCGGACATGTGTCTAACATTTTTTGACTTATTATCACCAAAAATATGTTACACTAAAATTAGTAATCCCACAATCTGAAATCTTCCATATTTGGTCAATATATTCAAATTCGATTTTGGGAGAAATCAGGAATTCTAGGATAACCTTAATACAATATGTTGGCCCATCATCGGATCTGTGCGTAGTCTTGGGGCACGGCAGTGGGCACAGATCGCAGTTCCGTTACCTCAGGGCTATAGGGATTTTAAAATGTGTACAGTGTTTGTGTGTGTTTGAGTTGTGTCAGTGTTTAGCATGAAAGGAATGAGTTATTTAACCCCGCCCCGAGGAATATGGAGTACCCTGGGGGACAGAATGTGACCAGACTTCTATGTTTGTGGTTCTGTACACATATACATGCGTATTGTATGTTTTGTATCTATTCTGTAGTTGACAACCTGAGGTTTTCCCTACCATTGTTGTATACATATAAAAAGCAGAAATTCAGTAACCAGATCAAGATGTTCGCATGGCTGCAGTTTACAACAAAATACTCGTGAAAGACCAGAAAAAGAAAGAAAACACACAGAGGGGCGGCGGCGATTACCTCAGCTGTCTGCACAAAAATCTCCTAATTATANTGCCTGCTCATAAATCTCCTATTATTATTGTGTATATATATTTTTTTCAGAATATATATCCAGAAAATTCCTATATATATATATATATATATATATATATATAGGAAAACACACAGCGGGGCGGCGTTGACCTCAGCTGCCTGCTCTCATATATATATATATATGAGATTCAGATCTGTTGGTTGAATCATGCAATTTGGTACAGTAAATTCCAAATTCATTCAATTTAACTCAAAAAGCCCAAAATAGTGTTAAATGAAAAAATAATGTTTGAGCATATAATTTCTTAAACTCGTGATGTAGGTTTATTGATTAGTTTGTAGCCCATTATAGGGAATGACCCTCCTAATTGGTGCAGTCACATTACAATATCTAAAATTAAGTGATACAAATAGATAATAAATAGATTACTTTATAACAAAATCAACAACCTTAAGTATAATCATGAGGACAAGTATTTAAGTATTTCGTTTTTCAAAACATTATATATAACCATATTGTATAACATATTACAGACAAATAACCATATAACCATATTACAGATTATATTTGTAGCCTTTTGTATGTAAACCATTGAACGAAATTTGCCGTAATAAGTTCTATGAAATTGGTTGTAAAAACTTTGTCGCTGATTATGAGTAGGGGCAGGGAGATATATCTGACTGAGAAGTTGTGGACAGGAGAAATGGTCGCCTTTCATAAGAAACACAACTCCATCAACAGAGGGCGATTCAAGGGAGAACATTTCGCACAGTTTCAACTGTACGTCATGCTCGTTATGATCCCACTGATGTCCTTGGTTGTAAATTAGGTACTTAATAAATTTCCTCTCTTCACCATCAAGTAGATTAATCTTACAATTTGACTGAACGCTCCACGGATACATACCAAGACACATTACTCAAATATGCTCTGAACCACTCCAAAATATAGATGTTTTAATGGTAGATTAGAAGGCACTACATTTAAGGAAAAAATGTGTTATAAACTAAAGATCTCGTTTTTGTCCATGGCATTTGATTCAAAAGGCAAAAGGTGCAAAATTAATACACGTTTTAAAAATTTGTTTTATTTTCGCAGGGCTTTTCATGTAAACAAAACTAAATCCTCAAATCTCATTTATGGATAATAATAAACATCTTTCAATTAATTGTTTTTTAGTTAAGATAAAAAAGTCAGTGACACGAGCGGGATTCGAACCCACGACCTTCGGCTTGATATGGGGGGTTGAGATGGGAAGTTAGTGTCCGAGTGGATCGAGGTCACGATAGCTCAAATGGTAGAGCAGCGGCGTATCTAGCCGAAGATCGTGGGTTCGAATCCCGCTCGTGATACTGACGTTTTTATCTCAACTAAAAACCTATTTAATTGAAAGTTATTTTAATCCTTTTAACTGTTAGCTTTTATACAAAGCATTTTCGTTTTTTGGTGGGAGGGGGAGAGGAACATTAGCGAATGAACTGTGCAGCGATGGTTTCAGAGATTTCATCTTGAAGATTTCGATCTTGAAAAGAGAGAAGGTCTCGGTAGGCCTTCTGTTGTGGACGACGACCAACTTAAAACGTCTAGGAATATGAAGAAATAAGGAATAAAGAAAAAACAAACACCAGACGTACACCAACACCCTCTCCAATTTATTAATGGTAATCAAAACACAAAGTAAATTTTTCTTAAGGTCCTTTCCCAGGAACAAACCTTATATGAGCGGACTTAGAGAAAATTTAATAATATAGTGATCCGGTTCCGGCAAAAGCTGGTCAATCACTCCTGCTCCCCAATTTATTTATTTACCTCTCCGGTTCATCTTATCAGTGTGTCCCGGCTAGACCCATGACAATGATTTATGCATAGATAAATTTTAAAAAATCAATTGTGCTAATGTACATTTCCATTTTTTTTTAGGTATTTTACCTTGGAGTTGAATGCAATTTATTTTTGTTTCATAGTTCACTTTGATGTAAAAGGTGGCAACTAATCCCTTTTGTGTGTTTTTATTGGACTTTTAGGTTATTAAATTTACGTTTTTGCACATTGGGAGTTTTATTAACTGTCCTTTTTTCTGTTCTTTACTGCTCCTTGGAATACACACTCTCCAATCGTGAATTAAGCTAGTTCAAAATAGAAATAATTACACGTTAAATGTGTTCAAATAAATGTTTAAGTCTCCACATTCCCTATTTTTAATTAATTACAACAATAACATAATTTTATTATTTTACGAGATGATTATTTACTTTACTTTGGAGAATTATCTTCCTCTTGTCACCCTTTCTATAAGTTTATTATTAAATGATGACCAGCCAACACGTTCTACCTGAGTTGGTGTTATTACAGACTAAATGATCTCCCTTGGGTCTCTGACAAATTCCGAGGCTGGCGCGCCGATGTGCCACAAAGCGCTTTCCCTTGGGTTTTAGCACGTTCCCTCGAGACGTGAAGTGCAGCTTTATTAGTAGCCGGTCACATAGAGACACTAAACGTTGATGCAATTATCAATATACTAGAAAGAGGTTTTTAGTGAAAAATCGTTGATTTTCATGAGCATATAGTTCAACACATTGATAGATACAGGATAAAATTTAGATTTTTTTTTAAGGTCAACAGAATTTTCAACAAATACAAAAAAGTCACATATTACAAAATATTAATTTTAACCTCAAAAAGATTGGTCAAATGCTGGCTTTGAAAAGCCATACCAATAAAGCCACAATCACAAATAAATAAAAAAGTTCGATTTTAGAGAACTAGACAAGAATGAAAAAAAATGAAAAACTTTGAAAAGTACTATTAATTGTAAGTGCTCAACTACAACATCTCAAGATTTGAGGAATTTTGTGTTTTCTTACAAAACAGCTTCATAAGTTACATAACTAATGCTGAACCGGCATTATTTGGGTCCTTCTCCATTTGCGGGTTTATTGAACAACCCAAACGCTTTTCGGCATGACGCCATATTCAGTGAGGAACTGTTTGTCACTTTGCCTGAGTATGGCGACACCAAATCTTGGCCCTCTGCAGCAGAGTATATTCGAGTACTACCCCAATTAATGACACAATGCCGATTCTGCTTGTTCACCGTCGCGTAGACCAACATCCAGCATCAACTCTAAGTTACAATAGATAGCGTTTTTAAAAAAATGTAGATCAATCGAAATGATCGAAATTCAGCTCCTAATCTGTTGAACATACTTCGCGTATAAGACACGTTACACACGCTGAAAATTCGCGATAAAAAAAACTCTTTAACAGTTGTCCATTTTTCTGATTATATGACGATACTAAAAATAAGCAAGCACAAACTCGAGCTAAGATGTCAGTTTTCTACTCAGTCAGTTTTACTACTAAAAATTACAGCCGCAAATTGAGAAAAGTCTGAGCAAAATCATCACACACAATCTAAGACGGACGAAAATACATACTTTTATTTATAAAATTACAATAATTAACAAGCTTTAATTATGGATTTATTGTTTGCCTTAACTAGAATCTGTTTTAAATAAAATGGCTGGAAAATAAGGGAGTCGGTGGCCGCAGCAGGTAAGACGTTGACACGGCGGTCATCACTATAAGAATAAGGTCCCAGGTTCGATTCCAGCGGCTTCCAACTTACTTATAAATGTTTTTGTATTTTTTAACATTGACATACCGGGGGTTGATATGAACTCCTTTTTAAAATATTTGATTATTTAATTAAACATAAATAAATAAATAAAATATGAATACGTACAAAATATATATGTAAACATACCTATGTAAAAATAAATATTTATATACTACTCCAAATGAGACCAAGTTTGGAAACATTTTCAAAAACTTGATGTTTTAATTTAAAAAAGTAAGACCAAGAACATTAAATTTGGTTGCGTATTTCCGGAGGAATTCCAATTCAAATGCAGGGAAATATTTCATACTTTAAATGATGTTCAAACAAAAATAAATATTTTCGAAGTCTAGTTACAGTTTTGTGAAATGAAACAATCTAATTGTTTT